TTCGGATTTATATGTCACTTAGTATATATCAAAATACATGAAAGTTGTCCTGTTTTTTCTGTACAAAAGCATCATGTTGGAATCAAAAAGTGTTCTTGTTTATAGTACAGTCGAATTTTCACGATTTTATTCAATATTTCATTAGAAATCACTAATATTCAGAGATCTTTGACAGCTTCTGTTAAATTGAATTTCGATAAGGTATTTTCCCATTGGTCCATAATATTAATGTTGGTGAAATCGGCCCTAAGGTTAGTAAAACTGGGAAAGGTTTCCCCGTGTAGGTTGTTCCACAATCTCGACACCCTCGGGACAAAGGAGCGGTCGTATCGGCCAGTTTTGGACGTACGAATTCCGACACGGTTAGGATGGGGGACCGAAGGTCATGTGGGTCTGATTGGCAGGCACATCGCGCGGTGGCATCATGGAGGAGAGCGCTGAACAGCAAAGCCCGTTGGTGTAGCGGTAGAAGGGAGCCAGAGCTAGAGAAGGGTTCCGCGACTATCTGTTACAGAAGATCCATCGATCAGTCGGACAGCCCTCCTCTAAACAGCATCGAGCATAAATAATCTAGTCGGGGCGTCAGCTCCACACTCGTGTGAGCAATACTAGGTGCTCGATGATCTAGACTTCGACCAGCCGAAATGAACGGTCATCCATCAAAACCGGCACAGGTATCACGTATCTTGAAAATTGCCATTATGCCGATTTTTTTGACATTATGCTGGTTTTTTTGACATTATGTAGGTTTTCCTACAAGATGTTAACTTAGCACTTAGTTGTACGTGTTGCCTAAACGTCATGAGGCTTGTTTTCAACCTTTGGCTCTGATGTGATGTAAAATCTGCTTCTGAGATGGCATTATTGGAGGTCTAAGCTGAAAGTTGTATGTGTTGATGATAATTACATTGGGTTCTTGTCTCAGATACACTTAAATGAGGTTCAAAGCTAGAAATTAGTTGCGCATCCAGTTTTTCTTATCCATTCTGGAAATTACATATACAAATTTGCTGAGTTTCAAAAATGAGAGAGATAAGAAATAATTATATTCACTGTACACTGTCGAATTACACGCCATATACATGCTAACAGTAATTACACACAACGCGGGCGCGGTGATGATTTCCCGTAATTCTCCTCAGTTTTTCGTAATTTATAACTTTCAAAATAACCTCTCTTTAGAAAGCACAACATAAAAATAACCCTTCGGGCACAGCCAATAGATATACTTCATTGGCAGCATATTCAGTAACGATTTTCTCACACAGCAAATAGCATTGATTTTACACACAAGCAGACCAATAAACATAATCATCCAGATACGATCTTGCTATTCAACCAACTTTCTTCTCAGAGATAAAAACTACAGACAAGGATCATTTAGCCTCACAAAACATATGCAACCAATAATGCATGTAGTTTATTTGAATGATTCCTCCTTAGATGGACGTTCACAACGATCCTAGTAAGCAAACGTGGAATGACTGTTTGCACCCTAAATACTACCTAGTTTGCAAGATGACATCTTATAGGTTTTTTTACGTTTAATAGGTTTTTTACATGATACCCCTGCGGATGAGGGCTAGGACGCTTTTTGTTCATCAAGGCACAGTACTGTGTTTTGGAAGCATCAAACTGTACAAGATTGTTGCGTCCCCAAGCAGTGATAACCTCCAGGTCTCTAGATAGAGAGGAAATCGCTGCTAGCCCTTTTTGTAACGGTTGACCATCTGATGATACATTAACATACAGTTTAATGCAGAGTTCCCCAAACTTTTTTGTGTCGTAGACCCCTCGCCATGTTTTTCCGTGTTGGGTAGACCCCCTACTTACCTGATATTGATTTCTAACTGTAGTGAAGTTCAGTGTTAAAAACTTAAAGTAAAAACACATGTTAATTTATACATTTATTAATTGAATTTAAATTAAAACTACTCAAAATAAAATTTTGTATATGTTATGTAAAATATACGAAACATTAAATAAACAGGTGTCTGACCAATAAGTGCCCGCATTGGGAATAAGTGAAAAAAAAATAAGAGGGATAAAATAAAAAAAGTGAAAAATAATAAAAAAAAAGTTTTTTACTTATAATAGTACAATAAGCGAGTTCGTTTATTAATTATAACATAAACGTATGTTCTACAATAATTTCACTGTTAGTTTGATTAAATTCCGCTTCTTATACGTTTAAGTTATCTAAAAATAGGCAAAAAATTAACGAATTTTAGTGTGTACCTATCCTTGAATTTTCAGAGTAACTTTAAAAAAAAATATTTCCTATAAAGGGAGGTTCTTTAAAAAACTCAATGCGGGCACTTATTCCGAATGCGGGCATTTATTGGTCAGACACCAATAAACATAAAATAAACTATAAATAAAATAACATAAGCAATAAGTCAATATTTTTAGTGAGAAGGATGAACCTGATGCTTTAATAATAAATTATCAACATTTGGCGTCAATTTTGTAAGGGTTAATCTTAAATCTCCTCGGCTAATGATGTCCAGTTTGTTTCTTTTTTTCGTTAAGAGATTGGTAACAGCGCTGAACCCCCTTTCCACTAGGTATGACGATGGAAAGGAAATTAAAAATTTCCTCGCTATATTCCATAATACGGGATAAGTAACGGGTATGTTGTTTTGCAGCCAGAATTGCTGATATCTGTTTTTAAACTGAACCTTAAGTTCTTCGTTTGTACTTAGTTCAGTCAGTTTCTTTTGTATTATGACATTCGTTTCTTATATGTCACCATATGGATTAATTATCCACGGTGGTATTACCATAGTCAAAATATCCTCAAACCTAGATTCAAAATCTGAATAGAGGGCATTTAAATGTTGAACGTAAGTTGAAACGTCGTCTTCCTGGCAGCTTGTCTGTGACAAATTGGGGAACTGAGAAAATTCGCCCCGTCCAATATTTTGCTTCATTAGTTTAACTCTGGCAAGAAACGCTGATAAGATGGACTTTGTTTTAATCAAATTTAAACTGTCGCCTTGTAATTGCAAATTAATCATATTAAATTATGTAAACAAGTCTGTTAAATAGGCGATGTCTGTTTTCCTCTTCATTAAATTTTCTTTTAAAATTTTATCTTTAGTATCCAGAAATTCTAAAAGTGCAAAAAATCTTGTCAAACATAAGCCTTTCGGCAACCAGCGTACTTCAGTGTGAAGGAGTAATTGATGAAAGTGTTCGTCATTTTCTTCACACAACTGCGCAAATAACCGCGTATTCAACGCGTTGCTTCGGATTCGGTTTACTGCATCAATAACCAAATGAAGTGATTCATGCAATCTAACACTCAAATTTTTAGCAACTAAATGTTGTCGATGGATGACGCAATGTCTTGCTAACACCCCTGACACATTTTGTTTTAAATAGCTTATAAATCCACGATAACGTCCAACCATGGCAGGTGCTCCATCTGTAGCTACTGATATTATATTTGATAAAGGAATTGCTTTTTCAGTGAAGTAATCCTTCAAAACATGAAATATTGATTCACCTTTAGTGTCGGTTATCAAAGTTCTTGCGAAGAGCACTTCTTCGTAGATTTCTTGATTCATAATAAAACGAACATACGCCAATAATAATGCTGCATTATCAGGTAAAGTTGACTCGTCCAGTTGTATAGAGAAATGGGTCGTTTGCAAATAATTACATAAGAAGCTTTCAATAGCAGAACTCATTTCATCAATACGTCTTTCAACAGTATTGTTGCTTAAGGGAATTCTTTTAATGATATCAGATGCAGGTTTGTGTAAAACAGTTTTTAAAACCTCTTCAACGGCTGGCAAAATTAACTTCTCTCCGATGCGGTTTTCCGGATTTTGCTATAAGTAACGAGATATGTAAGACGCCCGCAAACCATCATCATTTCTTTGTGACGTCGAAGCGAACATTCTGTCCAGTGTAGGTCTCTTTATCTTCGAGTGTTTGAAAGTATTTCACATCTTTCTTTGTTTTATCAGGGTGGCATCCTCTCAGATGATCTTGCAGTTTAGATGGTTTCATCTGTGGGCAAAATTAAATTATTTAAATAAGACAAAAAATCCAGCAGCTGTGTATCTTCTTGCAACAATTAGCTCGAATTACGGAGATTGCACTGTAATTATATTACCGATTGCTAAAACTTTCAAAAAGAAACTATTGAGGAGTACTCGTGTAATTTTGCATGATTGAATATTTAACTACTAATAACTAAAGTCATGATTGGCGTAATTTATCTATCTTTGCTAACTACGGCTACAAAACTAAAATTCAATAAAAAATAATGTAATTACTTTTCTCCAGCACTCTCAGACAAAATAACACTGGCTCACTATAATTTGTGTGATATACTATCTGTTTATATTTTTTAAAATATTTTCTTAGCACTTTCCTTTTCAAGATTCAGGAAACGAATAAACGTATTTGTCCCACATTCGTATTTATAGAGTGACGAATTGAACAAGTCAGTGCAAGGTAGCGAAGCTCTGAGACTGCGACTGTCAGGTTTTTACAAGTTCAAAATGTATTGCGACCACAAAGCGAATACCAACATCCTACAACTTACACAATTTTATAAACATATATAATAAATTTTTTACTTCATAGGTACTATTATAAATAATGTATATGTTTTGATATTATAAGATAGTATGATGTAAGTAAATAGGTACTATCAGTGTATGTGTTGAGATTCACTATCGTGGACCCCCGTATTCATTTCATGGACCCCCAAATTTTTTTTCGCTGACGTAGACCCCTTGCAGGTTGTCATAGACCCCTAGGGGTCGATATAGACCACTTTGGGAATCAATGGTTTAGAGCGAGAATTAAAACATTCTTCACTGACACCATAGCACAAGGCTTTTCAAACGTTTTGGCTTCTGATGAGAAGAATTACGGGAGCTCTTGAGAATTTATGTGAATCTGAACATTCGAAAAAACTCAAATCACATATTGTTCATTATAAAAAGGTATGTGTTTAAAGAGTCAACTAAATCAACTCGATACAATATTCCTTCTTCTTTCCAGACCCACCTGGACCCACCAGATGTCCGCAGACGGCTATGAAAACCTTAAGAAGAATCAACGATGGCCACCCAACCGGCGGATTCTGCTGCGTCTGCTGCAGCAGTGACGTCACACTGGTACCACGATTGGCACGAGCCCACTGACCTCGTCCATGACCATCGCAACTTTCGCGTTCCATCGACCCATCTGCACGGACATTATAACGCTTCCGTATCGCCGCAGACATTCTCGGATTATAGATATAAAGTTAGTCACAGTGAGTATGCCATTATCTATTCTAGACTGAGCTCTTTATACACCAGGATATCGTCGGTGTTTTGACGAAAACTTAAATCAAATTCAAGGGAAAAGCCAAATGAAAATGGTATTTACCATTTTGGATTGGTATTTATCGATCCGTTCAAGCGAGTTTGATTATAAAAGATCCGTGACGTCATGAATCAGCTGTTATATGTCATAGTTATCACCGCAAAGTTGTTGTATTTACCCAACTCGGGAGTAGTTTTATATTTCTGGTTATTATTTGAAATATGACAAGTTAGAATTTTGCCGGGTATTGGATATTTTATTGTAATTCAGCTTCATTTTTGGGAAACTTGATACAAGCTGACTTCAGTTGTAGCATAAATATACTAAGTGACATATAAATCCGAACACCCAGTTTAAATGGTTTTATTTTAATAAAAGTTGGTGAATGTATTTATCTTACTGTAAATAACAAGTGAAAAAATTTTCAGCCTTATCAGTTGGACATTCCGGTTTTTATACTGCTTTTTTTTAATTCACTAACGATCTAAAAATGAATATTTCAGCCGCAGTAAAGAATCAACGTTGGCGGATTTTGGTTCTTGACATCCTTTACGATCGGTTACGATGCCTAGAGTACGGAGACCTGTACGATTTCGTCAACTTAGTGAGTTTGATAGGCGCCGTATAGTGGGACTTCGGGAAGCTGGACTTTCTTTTCGGGCAAATGCAGTTAGAGTGCAAAGAAGTGTAGACACTGTGGTTAGGTGTTGTCAGGCATGGCTTCGAGAAGGCCGTACGCAAAGAGCAAGGGGCTCTGGACGCCGCCGTAGAACAACAGACCGTGAAGATCGCCGCCTAAGATTATTTGCCTTAAGGGACCGTTTCTCCACTACCAGGTCCATTGCAAATGAATGGTTTGCAGAACACGGAAGACCTATTGGCATGCGAAGTGTTTACCGACGAATGAGAAGTTTTGGCTTGTTTTCATACCGGCCACACTGGGTCCTCCCTTTAACTCGAGAACACCGACGTAATCGCCTTGACTGGTGCAGACAACGGTCACTCTGGGATCAGGAATGGAACAGTATTGTCTTTAGTGACGAGTCTGGATTTTGTTTAGGCATGCACGATGCTCGTGCCAGGGTTAGAAGGCGACGTGGTGAAAGGAGGAATCCACAGTTTTTTGTTGAAAGACATGTTCATCACACTGTTGGAGTTATGGTTTGGAGTGCTATAGCTTATGGTTCCAGGTCACCTTTAATCTTCATCAGAGGTAACATGAACGCGCAACGTTATATCCACGAAGTTCTAGAACCCCATCTTTTACCCTATCTTGACACCTGGCAGATCCAACTTTCCAACAAGGTAATGCCCGACCACATGTTGCAAGAGTCACAATGGACTTCTTTCAACATAATGATGTCACATTGTTACCATGGATACCAAGATCTCCCGACTTATCCCCAATTGAGCACGTGTGGGATATGATGGGTAGGAGATTGCTCAATTTGCAACGTCCTCCTCAGACTCTAGAAGCACTTCGAGAGGAGTTGGTGGTTGCCTGGAATGAGATACCACAGGAGGACATTGACCACCTGATCAGAAGCATGCCTAGGCGCGTTGGAGAATGCGTAGCACATCAGGGTGCATCCATACATTATTAAAGGTCTTTAAAGCAGTGCAATCATTTTGAAATTTTTATCATTTACTTACTATGCTTCATTAAGTACTTATACAAAATTTTATTAAAATAAAACCATTTAAACTGGGTGTTCGGATTTATATGTCACTTAGTATAGACCGGGAGCTGTGGGCAAAAATGGGGGGGTCATGTGATACAGCAGGAAACCTACTCAGAACGATAGTACTACATGAAAAAATAATTTCTAGCACTATGCCGTCACTTGAGAGCGGTACAGAGGAAAATTGAATTTTCTGTCCAGAAGGGGTCGCAAAAGTCTAAATGATTTTTTACGGCTTTCTTTAGTATCAGAGATGCCAACAAAATAATCACAATTCACTTAATGCCGTACGGAAATAAGGATGCCGGAAGCCATACAAAATTTTTAGTTTTCAGTAAATTTTCTATGCGAAAAAATTAATTAATTAACGTACGGCATTGTTACAGTTACCTTTCTGTAATTGTTTACATTTAGAATTTACCAACGCCATACATATCTGCTGGTACAGGGGTGAGATAACTCGGGTCGCAACCCCTGCTTTAGACCTCTATGGTCTAAAAATTGTCGTTAATTTATCAAATACTATTAAAATTATTTAATTTTAAGTTGTATCAATTCACCACCATTATACTATATAAGGGTAGGGGGTTGCGACCAATATTTTTTATGGCTTCCGGCATCATTACTTCCGTACGGCACTAAGTGCATCGTGATTATATCGAAGTGATAAAACAACAAAATATTTTTGTAGAAAAAGGTGCTTATTTAAAAGTTCTTAAATTTAAACAGATGAGGACAAAGTTCTTTGCTATCATAGAATGTGACCCAAAGACATTTTACAATATTCTAGAAAATGGTATATTGTGCATTAATTTAACAATACGTTCTGTTTATGTGCACATCAATGTATTGAGGTGCTATAATTGCAGTGGCTACAACCATACGGCCAATAAATGTAACAGTGACATGTTCTGTATGAAATGCGGAGAGAAGGGTCATAAAGCTGATACGTGTTTAAACTCTAAAGTGTCTTGCCAGAATTGTCTGGAACTTAACAAAAAAATTAAGTTGAGCCTTAGTATTGATCACTCCGCTTTCGATAAAATTAATTGTTCAATCATGAGGAAGAAGATTGAAACAGCCAGGAACAACATCAACTATTTATTCTATATAGCAATCAAGACGCAATTTAAAAGTTACGCCAAATAACACCATTCCACTTAACTGCGGAGGCTTTACAAAACAGAACAATAGATTAAATGTATCCCATGTCAATGTTAGGTCACTAATCTCAAGCTTCGATATGTTAGCAGACACCATACTAGAACAAGATTTCCACATCATAGCGTTAACTGAGACTTGGCTTTCTTCAGACTTCTCCTCTGATTTGATTTCTCTGCCTAACTACCAGCTTATAAGAAACGATAGAGAAGGAAGAGGGGGTGGTGTATGTTTTTACATCCAGTCTAGCATAAAGTACAGAGTTATAGATCTTCGGAATATTCCTTCAAATGGCATTGAACATCTTTAGTTGTCACTAAAATTCGAGAGCAAGAGTATTGCAGTAGGTGTTATCTACCGACCACCATCCAGTCGACTGAACATTCTATCTGATTTGGAAAATATCCTTGCCTTTATATACGTCACACATGATGAAGCAATAGTATTGGGCTATATCAACATCGACCTCACCGATGAGCATGCTGTTTAAAGCAAACAATTTTTGCAAATGATGTCTCTATTAAACATGAACCGCGTAATTAATGAACCAACAAGAATAACAGCAAATACAGCAACAATGATCGATATCATTTTTACAACAAATACACTCACTGTTTACGAGTGTGGAACTCTAGACATGCCAGTCACTGATCACCGATTGTGCTTCTGTAAGTTGGAAATTGAAACTCCGGAATACACACCTGCAATATTTTACTACAGAGATTTCTCGCATTTCGATCACGTTGAGTTTGCCAACGATGCTGCTTCTGTGGAATGGAGCTACATAGATGGTTGGCCAAGTCTTGATGACAAAGTTCTTCACATTACCGAAACTATTATTATGCTCTACAATATACATACCCCATTGAAAAGAATTACTTCACGTAAGAACTACAGAACTTATGTGACACATACAATCAAGTGTATAATAAATTTGAAGCGGAAAGCATACAACAAGTTCAGAAGAACTAGAAATGAAGATCATCGTGCATATTATAATGATCTAAGAAATTATTTAGAAATAGCTTTGAAGAATGAAAAAACTGCTTTCATAAAATTCCAGCTTAATAAGTATTATAATAATCCTAAACAGATCTGGAATAGTTTTTCCAGGTGGAATATACACACAAAACCCAGTAAACACATATCACAGGACACTGAAAATGCTGAAAGCATCAATAATCACTTTATTAACTCTGTACCAAACCTGCAGCCAGATGACTTATTTCTTAACACATTCTCATATCAAAAAAATTCTATAGTATGCAAGTCTTCATTTAGTCATGTTACGTCAGACCAAGTTGAACTAAAACTCAAAGAAGTCAAGTCAAATGCTGCGGGTGTTGATGGTATCACTACAAACATGTTGAGAAACGTGTTCTCTTTTTGTAAATATCAGCTAACCAGTATCATCAACCAATCACTGAGTACAGGGGAAGTGCCATCATTATGGAAAAAAGCAGTTATAACATCACTTGCAAAAGTTAATAATGCCATCGATTTTAAGGACCTCAGACTAATAAGTGCTTTACCTTCAATGTCCAAACTGTTAGAGAAAATTGTAGATGATGAACTTCCTGAGCATCTAGAAATCAACAAAGTGTTGCCTGACACCCAGTCTGGGTTTATGAAATTACATAATACATCTACAGCGCTCATTAAAATTTCCAGTGATATAGTGAAATTTATAGACGATGGTATGATAACGCTACTAGTCATGCTAGACTTCAGCAAGGCATTTGACATGGTAAATCACAGAGTTTTGTGTGAAAAACTGCACCATTATGGTTTGACCGGAAATGCCATGCTGTGGTTTAGTAATTACTTGTTTGATAGATCTCAATGTGTAAAATTGCGCGGTAAAGTGTCTAATTTACGAGCTTTGAAGTCTGGTGTTCCACAAGGCAGCGTTTTAGGCCCTATTTTATTTACTTTTTATACCTCAGATCTGATAAAACATACATCATCTGACTGGAATGTACATTTGTATGCGGATCATGTACAAGTTTACAAACCATGTCAACCAACCGATGTAAATTCTTTAATATTAGAACTTAATAAAAATTTAGACATAATTGAACAGTACTCAAAAAATCATTGTTTG